TTTTTTTTTTTTTTTTTTTTTTTTTTTTTTTTTTTTTTTTTTTTTTTTTTTTTTTTTTTTGAAGTTAAATTATGGCGAAGTGGAGAATCCAATTATAGTAGTACCGTTATTAAGGATGTTTACTAAATTAAAATCCAACTGTCACCGGTTGGTAAAATACCATATTTGCCCTTCGAAGAACTCGGAAACGCATTATTGAGAGGAAAAAAGAAAACAGACTACAACATTCGAACTACCTTTCGCCATTATTACACACATACGAAAGGCAATCGGCAGCCACGAACCTTGCAGGCTACTGGAAATACGATTGCCCGGTGATGTCGATGTCTCTGTCGCCAGAGGATGGCGGGGGCGCGTGCTTCGGCTTCATTCCCGATTCTACAGGCCCGTCGGCACTCTGTGTGTCGCTCGCGGGCTTCTTCTGTAGGCTTTGCTGTTGGCCTTCCTCGGCACCGTACATTCCTCCGCCGTAAGCACTTTCCGTCAATGGCTGCATCGGGGATATATAGTGCGGTGGTTCTTGCTCTAGCTTCTTCGTTTCTTCTCGCCTCTGCTGCTCCCTCTCCATCTCCACCTTCTGGTTAGTCTCCATTTTTCTGCACTGATCCAAATTCGTATTGCCCTAAATCGTTTCCCCCTTTTTTCTTTTTTTAGAAATCGGGGTTTAATGTGAAACCACGTGTCCACATGATTTTCATGGCGGTTTTATGAATCGCCACCGCATTGCATTCCACTCGCCTGCCACGTGTGTCTGTCTAATTCTTTCTTTGGGCTGGGCTATAATTTCATGGGCCTAAACTTTTGAGTATCCGGTTGATCTTTAAGGCCCATTAGATAACTACATTGGGCCGAGGCCGAAGACGAAACGTTTATTTTGTTTTTATTTTTTTATTTTTAATGGTGTTTTAGGAAAGGGAAAGGGAATGGATCTTCCAAACTCCATTCTACATTTGACTACCTCAACTCCCCTTGACCCAACCTATAAACATAGGTTTTTAAATTAGAAAAAGCGCAGCGATGATATTAAAAAACCCTTAAGGAAAAACCTATTAAAATGATATTAAAAAAACAGAAATTCTGAAAATTACACAAATCAAACTTACATTTGAAGCTGGATTTTAAGAAAAAGTAGAGAGAAGGAATAAGAAGGAATAAAGTGAAATAAATACCCATAATTAATTTTGACTGGAAAAAGCGCAGCGATGATGGGCTATGAGTCCAATTGAGTCCCCAATATTGATTCCGAATTAATTCGACTTTAGGAATCCCAACATTTTTGTTATTTTGTTTGGGACAACGGACAACTAATTCCAACCCTCTCTGTCTTGTCCCTGTATCCAATCACTCCCTCACCTTTAATTAAACCCTATTTCCAATTTCTTAATCACGATTAAATTAACTTCAAATACCTCCGAAGATCCGAAATTTTGGGGATTTCATATATTATTCTTATTATTATTTTCTTTAATACATTTAATATATTTATGACTGATTACGTTAGAGCTTCCATACTTAATAAAAATTAATTTAAAGTATGTATAGATTCCATGTTCATAATTTAATGGTTCATATTGTAAGCTCAAAGACGAATGAGAAGTCCCATCACATCTCAATGCAATTTTATTTATATAATAATGAATCTTTGAATGGTTGGTTCAATTATAATTCTCTAGCTGCCTAAGATATAGAGCTCTATATATGGAATAAATTACAAATACTTAAATTACCAATTTGACCTTTACAGTTTATCAAACATCTTAATTCTCTAGCTGCATAATTTATTTATTTTTTTTTTCTTTTCATTATTGCATTATTGAAATTCATGGGGTTCATTCTTACATAAATTTTAAAATGTTCATTTAATGTGTAGATTGTCGCAACTATCAAATTAGTTGCAACAGCCCGAGCTCACATGATAATAATGCTTTGCAATACACCTTTATGTTATCATGAATCGATGTGAGATCTCACAACTCATCCTCTTTGGAGCCAGCATCGAGGTCATTTGTAATAGCTCAAGGCCACCGTTAACAAATATTGTCTGTTTTAGCTCGTTACGTATCATTGTAAGCTTTACGATTTTAATACGTGTCTATTAAAGAGAGGTTTTTACATTCTTATAAGAAATGTCGCGTTTCTCTATCTAATTTATCCAAAAAAGAAACGACTGTGAAACTTCAGTCGGATAAAAAAAATAAATAAATAAAAGCTGAATGAGTGGAATTTAATCCTATTAAATATTTGTGATGAGATTTTGATCATCAAGTTTGCTAATTAAACTAATTAATATCTTATTATTGCTTAGAACTAAAAAGATTAAAACCAATGCAAGGCAGCGCGTATGTGGGCCCCGCAAACAAACTGCTCCAGCGTGTCGAGCCACGTGGTGTCCCCTCCCCACGAGGACTGTGTAGAACACAACCGCCTCCGTGTACCCACATCATTGGCAGCCCCGTGGCTTTCATTTTCATGTTCTACTTATTCGCGGATCCTGTAGTCCTCCTCCACACCAATAGGATAAATACCCCGCCTTTTACGGTTACTGCTTTTCTATAAACCTTTTTAGTGGCAAATAAATTTTATTTAAAATTATAGACCCTAAATAATTTCAATTTTTTTTTAAATTTTCTCCATGGATGAATCAACCTGAGACAATATTGCTATAGGTGAGTTTGGGGTGCTGCAAATGACATGAGAGCTAGACACGGGTCGGTGTGTTGTAGAGAGAACAACATCTCCCAAATAAACGCGTAGGGAAAGACTTGCACAAAATCCTATTAAGCCTAACATTAAGGATTGGAGAAACATTATAAAATTTGATCCTTAATTAATTTGAATTGATGCATATTTGATTCCAAGATTCTAATTTTGTATCTAATTTGAATTTAAAAATGTTAACAAATTATAAATATGAAAAAAGGTTAATTTATATTTATTAGATTAATTAATGTTTTAAAAATAAATATTTAAAGAAATTATTGGAGAAAATTGAGAGTTAATGTACAATAAAAAATAATTTTATATCTAAAAAAATAAATATGTAAAGCAATTTTAAACGTAGGGAAAGAGCTGCGCAAAAAAAGCAGTCATATTGTTCATTTTTGCTTCCCCACTCTAGCTTCCCCTCGTGCGCCTCACTCTCTCTCTGCCCTCAAATTCCGCGCTATTCTCCGCTCCCCTTTAAATACTTCGAAATTCCCTTCCCATCTTCCTCACCACTAACTCCCAAATTCCCCATATCTTCTTCCCGCTCTCACCGCATCGTTAAAATCACAGCCATGGTCGGTGTTTTCCGGCGATCTTTCTCTTTTCCGAACAAGGCTCAGCCCAAGCCCGCCCTCTCTCATCACGTCCGTTCCATCAGTCTTCCCTCCAGACCCCACCCCTTGATTTTCCAACTCAAGGACGAAATCGCCAATCTCCGTTCCTGGTCGCTCAGTTCCGAGTCCCGTACCGCCGCCTGGATCTGTGACGGCTTGAACCGCCTCAAAACTGTACACAACCATCTCGACGACATTCTCAACCTCCCTCAGACTCAAGAATCCCTCCGCCACCAGCCGCACTGGATGGATAAGCTTCTCGAACATTTCTTACGCTTCGTCGACGTTTATGGAATCTTCCAGACTTTGATTCTCTCGCTCAAAGAAGAGCACTCCGCCGCGCAGGTCGCGATGAGGAGAAAAGACGAAGAGAAGATCGCGCTATATGTTCAATCTAGGAAGAGGTTAGTTAGGCAAATGGCGAAACTGGTTTCGACCGTACAGAAGAAAACCAAAACGGCCGGGCAAGGCAACATCACCACCGATCTTGCCGCCGCGATCGAAGAAGTCATCGGAGTGACGATGGCGGTTTCTCTGGCGCTGTTCAACGGAATCGCAGAATCATTCAGGACAAGGAAGCCATGGGCGTGGACAGGATTTGATCAGGTATCGAAGAAGGGGATTCGAGAGTTGGGAGAAATTGGATCTGAGAATTTGAGAGAATTGAAGAAGAAAGGGAAAGAGGAGACGAAAAGGACGATGAAGAAGATGCGAGATTTGGAGGATTGGATTGGAGACATTGAAACTCAAAGCCAGAAGGTTTTCAGAAGTTTGATCAGCGCCAGAGTATCGTTGCTAAACTCTCTGTCGCAGCAACAGATATTACAAAAATAGATGCAATTATTTTTTACACCAAATTACTATACTAATTAACTAAATATATGTACATGATTCACATATTTTGATCCCTTTTGGGGAGTTGAAAATAAATATAATTTAGAGAAAAATAGAATTAATTATAATGTATAGATGAGCTGGTTTTTATTATATATTGATGACATGATCTTCGGACTGTGCGTAGAAGATTGAGAGTCCATGACCATCCCATTGTTGGATGGGATGATTTTTCTATTTTAATGTAGAATTTCAAAATCAATGTTTTTAAATATAAAAAAATTTCGTCCGGGTGTATTTCTTGTGACCATGTGTCATATGTCTCAGTCATACTTATCTAGGACTTGTTGTTTATGTTCGTATACTTGTTTCAAACTCCTTTTTAGAGAGATCTTTACTATTTCTTAAAATCATGTCTACCCCACTAAAACTAAAATGCTTCAAAATTGTACTGTTTTTAGCTCAACGTAGCTCGAGACTTGAGCACGCGCCGATATTGTTCACGAAGTTCGGATCTCACACGGGCTGACTTGTTTGTTAGGTTAATTATCTTCTTACCACTTATATTAACTAGAGAATGAAAATTGGACTAAATCGGTAGTTGTCCTAAACTCACTAAAAATTTTGAAAGTCCAAATTTATTTCAAAACATTAGCTTATAATGTTAAAAAGCCATAGTTTTAGGCTTTTTGGTTTAGGGCAAGGGCCACACGCGGTCTGGCTGCTTCACACGACTTCTCCACTCTTATATAGGTCAAGCTATGTGCATAATTCATGAATTAAGTTACAAAATGATTTTTCTTAGGATTATTTTTGGATATGATTATATAAAATATATATTTTGTTGGACGTGACCTTCTTGTGGAAGAACATGAGATGTTTTGAATTGGACCCTTCGAAAAAGAAAACCAGACATTGCCGTTGCCGACACTGCTATTGCTCCTAAATTGTTATTATTTCTTTTCGTTGCTAAACATGAATTTTTATTCTTATTACTTAAAACGTTCTAACGTTGACTTTTTCAAAGAGAGTTGACTTGAATTTAAATGAAAATTAGGCCATATAAAACTTATACATATTATTTCAATTAATAATTAAGATGCTAATAAATATGATAAATTACAAAAATCAAACATAAATAATGTCATTTTTATAATAAGTACAATAATACCATCTAGAATATGGCCTTGATTCACCTGGGAGATTAAGATTAAATTGGCATTATAATATTTTAAACATAAAAATATTGAACTAAGTTATATTTTGAGGAAATATTTTTGTTTTTAAAATTATAGATATTAATTAAATTATTTAACCAATAGCTTGGTTTTATATATTTGATGAGTAGTTGCACATGTCCATGTGGCCATACGGACAAATTTTAAAAGAAACCTATAATTTTTTATATTTTTTTTATTGAGTGATAATAGATTGAAAATTGAAAATAATGACCAATACTTTATTATGTATTAAAATATTAAAAAAATTGTATTAAAATATTAACGAGGAATTTAAAAGATTAAGGAACTAAAATAAAATAATTTAATAAATAAAAAAAGAGAATATAAATTTCAGGGTGTGGCGCCAGAAATCAAAGGGAAGTTAATAAGTTATAACAAATGTTTGCATTATTATCCCTTACGACAACTCATTTGCAGAAGAACCCAGAAAGACGAAGCCCCTGTTATCTGCTGGAGAGGAAAAAACTGAAACTCAATCGGGCACCCACGAGACAACGGCGCAATGAGAAGGAGAAATGGAAGCTGCAACCTCGTTACGTTTCTCTATTATTCTCACAATCCAACGATCCGCATTTCGTAGAGTAAACATTTCAGGCAGCTCTCTGATACATATCTCTTCCTGCTTCTGCGATTTTGTTTCTTTGAGTCAAATTCGAGTTTGAATTCCAGGATAGAAGTTGAATCGATTGAGTTATGGGATGCTGCCAATCGTCGTTACTTAAACTGAAAAAACCTTCAGCCGATGTTAATGAACAAAACAATACTCAAGGCCAGAAGAATCACCACCATCAGAATCGAGTAGAAGCCCCGCCAGCTGATGAATGCGTTGAGTTTTCGTTCGCCGACCTTAAGGCGGCGACGAACAACTTCTTCTCCGAATACATTGTATCGGAAAGCAGTGATAAATCGCCCAATGTCGTTTACAAGGGATGTCTTCAGAAAGAGAACAATCGACGCTGTATTGCAGTTAAAAAATTTACCAAAGCTGCGTGGCCGGACCGCAAACAGTTCGCCGTACGCACTCGTGTTCATTTTTCTCAATTTCTCGGATTCTGATTTTCACCATTGCCTTCCCTTGCTATTAATTGTTATTCGCTTATGTTGTTGGTGTTGAATTCTTATTCAGGAGGAAGCCTCTGGTGTGGGGAAATTGAGAAACGAAAGACTTGCCAATTTAATCGGCTACTGCTGCGAGGGCGACGAAAGGCTGCTTGTTGCGGAGTATATGCCCAATTGCACCCTCGCAAAGCATTTGTTCCACTGTAAGTCTCTTGAATCCATTCTTCATTGATAATTCTGGAATTTATCATATCAAACCAGTATTCTTCTTCTTCTTCGTCGTCGTTGCATGGTTCTATTGTAAGGTTTAGATGTTCAATCTGCCTATGGACGATGTAGAATCGCCATAAAAGAGAGCTGCCATAATTTTTCTTTTTACAAGTTTATGATCTGCGTCTTCCCTGGAGACGAAGCTATCGATGATGCATTATACTTCCAATCTGTTGATTCCGTATTTTTGCTTATTCCTACTTTTGTTGTGTTCTTATTTTCTTGAAAACTTGAATGGGTAAAACAATGAGTGAGATCATGCACATCAATCCATACAAATTGGACATCTGGTGCATTTTTTTTGTTTAGACGTAAAACGTAATCGGTTATACAATTTCGTTGACAGGGGAGAAACAAACCATTGAGTGGCCAATGCGTTTAAGAGTTTCTCTATACATCGCTGAAGCATTACAATATTGTAGTCAGGAAAAACGTCCATTATACCACGACTTGAATGCAGACAGGGTTCTATTTGACGAGGTGCTTTAACGATCAACAAACCCCCTTCCCCTTTTTTTTCGCTATTTAGAAAACGAGAATAATTTCCTTGGTATTTATGATAAGAATTTCGAGAAAACTTGTGGCTTTCCTTTTCAAATGCCCATTTTTCTAATTTTTATGAGGGCGATAGATTATTGATTTTGAAACAGCCACATTGAAGCGTTCTCGTTAAAAGATAATTTTCCACTCAAAAGGATCTTTCGTATCATATTGTATTAATGTGGCTAGAGAGTTTGCAGAATGGAGATCCTCGGCTATCATGTTTTGGATTGATGAAAAACAGCATGGACGGAAAAAGTTACAGCACCAATTTAGCTTATACACCTCCAGAGTATTTAAGAGATGGTACTTGAACATCATCCACTTTTTATTATCAAACTTAACTAGTCATTTCTTTCTTCTACCATTTACAAAAGGTGCATACATCTGTTGGTTATCCATACTAAATTGTATATTAGAATTTTATAGCCTTCAGTTATCTGATTATTCATCCAATCTCCCTTAGCGAAAAGTCCAACTCCAGATTGATCAAATGTTAAAGACTTGTTATAGAACACATGATCACCAGTAGGATCCGTACGAATCTTAGTTATGAAGGAAAAGAGAATGAGCATTAGGATCCTTACGAATGTCTCTTAGTAACAGCAAGAACTTAACCGTATTGTTCTCTTCCACTTGTTGATTGTATCACTGTCATAATTGGCTGCTTTTTTCAGGAACTGTAATTCCTGAAAGCGTTTTGTATAGCTTTGGGACTATCCTCTTAGACCTTCTTAGTGGAAAGCATGTCCCTCCGAATCAAGTAAGTACTTTATAGTTTTTACCAATGTCTAATTTAGGGGCATGAAACAGAAACATATTAATGCCGATGTTTAATTTTATCAAAGAGGATGGGTTTCTTTTTCTTTTTTTTTTTTTTTCTTTTCCATTTATTTCCTCGACTTCCATGCAGGCACTTGATATGATTGGGGGTAAGCACATTACGCTCTTGATGGATTCACATTTAGATGGCAAATTTTCAACTGAAGAGGCGACTTTAGTATTTGAGCTTGCCTCACAGTGCTTGCAATATGAACCTAGGAATCGACCAAGTATTAGAGAACTTGTAGCAGCACTCACCCCTCTCCAAAATAACTCTGATGTGAGCGGTTTTTATTTATTCATATATATATATATATATATATTGTGGACCGCTTGTGGTGCTTTTCTTTTCGAAGAGATACTTGAGTCAAATTTATTCAGTACTTTTAACGTCTAATGTGATAAATTCTTGCTTATAGATTCCATCATATGAAATGCTGGGTATCCCAAAGCACGAGGAAATACCGTTGTCGCCACAACTGCCTCTCTCTGTAATGGGCGATGCTTGTTCTCGAGTGGACCTAACAGCCATTCATCAGCTTTTGCTCGTGTCACATTATAAGGATGATGATGGATCCTGCGAAGTAAACCATCTCCGATACTGAAACTCAATTCTATAGTTTCATTTCTTGGAAGTTTTTTCCCCTGTTAGATTGTTGATCCTTATTAAATGCTAAAACTTCATCTCCAACTGGATTTATGCAGCTGTCCTTCCAAGAATGGACTCAACAGATTCGAGATATGTTGGAGGCGCGTAAGCGAGGCGACATGGCATTTCGAGATAAAGATTTTATAGAGGCAATAGACGGCTATACTACGGTAAGCAGCTATATTCCTTGATGATGATCATGAGCTTTGAGATTAACACCCTCCACCAAACCTGAAAATACACATCATCTGGATCGTTAAGTTGAGTTGCTCTATGCTGAAGAATGACGTATTATTTATTGTATCGTGTGCAGTTCATTGACGTAGGAAATATAGTATCTCCAACAGTCTACGCACGAAGAAGTATTTGTTATCTGCTGTGTGATAAACCAGATGCAGCACTTAGAGATGCCATGCAAGCACAATTGGCTCACCCCGAGTGGCCGACTGCATTTTACTTGCAGGCCGTTGCCCTAGTTAAGCTCGGAATGCACAAGGATGCAGCTGACATGTTGAATGAGGCATCAACATTAGAGAAGAAAAGGCATAATAGAGGTAGCAGAGGGTATTGAGAATTCAGTTCTCTCAAACTCTTTGGTGCATTTTTTTGCATACTATGGGATCTGTAAGTTATCAATCAAGTGGTATGCACTTCTGTGAAATAATTAGTTCATTCGGCTTTGTGTATTGAACATATATAATACAATTCCATGTCAATATGCTTCTATGCAACAAATAACTCGGCTTTTCCATCAATGAAGAGGCTCATGAACTCTTCCCCGTCCACGGTTTCCTTCTCGATAAGGAGTTGTGCAAGCTTGTGCAGAATGTCGATGTGGGTCGTGATTATCTGCTTAGCCCTTGCATATGCCTCCTCTACTAACTCTCTAACCTCTGCATCCACAACATCTGCTGTTGCCATAGAGTAATCTTTCTGGGATGACATCTGCAAGCTCCCAAACATTAATTATAATTAGAACTCATTCTAAATAAATAGGCGGTGAAAAAATAATCGCAGAAATCCAAAGATTTATCTATTCATCCATAAGGTAGATTGCCATGTTATTTGTGCAAACCTGTTGACCTAAGAAGGGATTTCCGCCTGATCCACCAATTGCAATTTGTCCGATCTTTTTACTGAATCCAAACCTCTCAACCATTTGTCTTGCAACACGAGAAACTTGCATAAAGTCGTTCGATGCGCCCGTTGTGACGTTGTCTTCTCCAAATATCACCTCCTCAGCCACCCTGCATTGGCCATTAAATGCAAATTGAATAACATATAAGCTCTATAACTCAACTCTAAGAACATTTTTCATTATTTCAAGAAGGTCAGGTTGGCTAGAGAACGACCACAGTGATACTCGTAAAAGTTGTCGTAAAGGACCGTCAAGCAGTATGGCCAGACAATCAAACATTAGGGTCATTGCAAGGATGAAGTTTGAATAATGTATACCTTCCTCCAAGGGCAACAGCCATCTGATTCTCCAGGTAGCTTCTGCTGTACAATCCAGATTCGAGCCTCTCTTCGCTTGGAGCAAAAAAGGTAAGTCCACCAGCTTGGCCACGGGGAATGATCGATATCTTCGCCACGGGATCGTATTCTGGCATCAAAGCTCCAACAAGAGCGTGCCCGGCCTCTGCATTTGGAAAAGAAATGAGCGGTTAATAGAATTGCAAAACCAGACAATGACAGTCATATTGGCATATACCATGGTATGCAACTAATTTCTTCTTCTCATCCGAGACGACGGCGTTCTTCTTTTCCGGCCCTGCAATTATCCTCTCAAGAGCATCTGATATCTCATCTTTGCTAATTTCCTTGAGATCACGCCGGGCTGCAAGAATGGCTGCTTCATTCATCAAGTTCTGCAAATCAGCTCCAGTGAAACCAGGGGTTCTCCTTGCTATCTTTTCGAAGTCAACATCTTTAGCAAGTGCCTTCCCTCTTGAGTGCACCTACAAGACATCAGTGTATCATATAAAGAAAGAATACAGAGAACTTAGAACATTAACAAAAAGAAACAATGCAACAGATGTTCCAAACTACAACACTACAAAAACACACAAAAAAAAAAAAAAAACAAAAATGAGCATCTTTTTGTAACAGCCCATCCTTTCTAACCGCCCAAGCCCACCGGTAGCAAATATTATCCTCTTCGGGCTTTCACTTTCAAGGTTTTAAAACCGTGAAGTTGATGACGATATGTAACAGGCAAAAGTGGATAACATCGGCTAGTGGTGAGCTTCTAAGGTTGATAGTCCACTTAAAATCAAGTGTAACAACAGCCCAAGTGCCTTGATCAAACCAAGAATCCATTACAATTTCATTGATCTTGAGACAATAAGAGTTTCCAATGCACTGACCTGAAGAATCCTGACTCTCCCAGCAACATCAGGACGGTCTACGGTAACTTGTCTATCAAACCTTCCGGGCCGGAGCAAAGCAGAATCAAGAACATCTGGTCTGTTTGTAGCAGCCAATACAATCACACCAGAATTACCGGAAAACCCATCCATCTCAGTCAATAGCTGATTGATTGTTTGCTCTCTCTCATCATTCCCACCTCCAAGACCGGCCCCTCTCTGCCTCCCCACAGCATCAATCTCATCAATGAACACAATGCAAGGCGCTTTGGACTTGGCCTTGTCGAACAAGTCCCGCACTCTCGAAGCACCCACACCAACAAACAGTTCTACAAATTCTGAGGCAGCACACGAGAAGAATGGCACGCCAGCTTCACCAGCCACGGCCCGCGCCAGAAGAGTTTTTCCCGTACCGGGCGGCCCAACAAGGAGGCACCCTTTTGGGATTTTAGCTCCAAGAGCTGTGTACTTGTCTGGGTTTTTCAAGAAATCAACCACTTCCTGCAATTCAAGCTTGGCTTGGTCAGCTCCAGCTACATCGGCAAAAGTCACGCCAGTTTCAGGTACTTCTTGGAACTTGGATTTTGATCTTCCAAAATCCATCGGCCCACCTAATCCACCGGGGCCGCCGGGGCCACCCTGAGAACGGCGGAAGAGGAGGAACAATCCAGCAAAGGCCAAAACGGGGAACAACAAATTACCAATGAAATTGAACAATCCATTTCCAGCGTCGCCTTCAGACACCGAAATATCAACACCGTTCATGGCAAGAATGTCGATAAGATCAGGGTCATTGGGGACTATCACAGTGGCACGACGGCCATCGATGGCAGTAAGCTGAAGCGCAGAGCCGTCTTTACTAAACCTAACTCGTTCCACCTTCCCCTTCTTCACCGCATTCAGGAATTCACTGTATCGCCATTGGCTACCTTCGGGAAGGTCCGAAACCGATTGAGATTGGGGTTTCGGAGCAGTGAGAAGGAGATTCTGAGAGAAGGGCGAGGAAGTTGAAGTGCTGGGACTCGCCGCTTGAGCTTCAATTACCGGAGGAGGCGGCGGAGGAGGGGTAGCATCGTCCACGGCTAGAGCTTGTGGCGCAATCGAAGAGAAGATTAGAGCAGCCAAAGTAGCTCGCGATGGAATCGACTTGAAGTGTTCAAAATTGGGTTTCTCACTAAGAACGCTTCGCGTAAGAACAAGCTTCCTCCTCGAAATGAAAGGCAAACGCGTCGCCGATCTGGTGGTTTTGGGTGTGGGAGGAGAGATTAAGGTGTTAGTTCCGAAGAAGGTTGAAGATAGAAGAGTATTAGTGGCGGAGGAAGCCATAACTCCGACGAAATTTCAGCCGATTGCTTCAATTCAATCTGTTAAATAAAGAGAAAAAAAAAATCGAAGAATTCCAGAGAAATCGCGTCCAATTTTTTTTGTCGTTGTTTGATAATGTGAAGGGGAAATGGGTGGGATTTCATCTTTGAATCCGCGCCATAGAATCAAGAAGCGTTAACATCTTGTCTACGTGTGTGCTTAAACTCCAATTAGTTCTTCCCTTCAAACAAATTTTCTTCTAGAAATGTGTTTGGTGGCATCCTAAGAATGTCAAATTATTTATATGTTAGGAACCTTATTGAAATTATATGATGAAAGCAATTACTTGAGCTATGATGATAAAATTATTACAGTAACATCCCACCAATTACAATGAATAGATACCTGGTGTATTGTGTTTTCATTTTGTCACCATAATTGAATAGATGAAATAAATAAATAGATTTTTCTTCGGTTTTTTTTTTTTTTAAATTTCTTTTAAATGGTGCTTTTGTCGGGATTTTGCGTGTTTAAATTTCACTTTCATCCTTTTATACTATTTTCGTACTGAATCTATAACTTTTATCTTCAAAAAAAAATATATTCATTTTGATCTTATCTTTATTTATTTTTAGATTACTTGAGTATGTATTAGTAAGTTTGTATGGGTATGATAGATAAGAAGCAATATAATATTTAAAATAGTAGTTTAGTTAATACAAACGTATATGCCAAACCGTATTTGTATGGTTGGAGCTTACACGGTTTACATCTTAAAACCCAATCAAAACCGCAATGACGCAAAAGTCCATCAAAATCACTGGAGGACTTAAAGTCAGGTGGCAACATGCCCTTCGAAGAAACCTGCGATACGGCATTGTCTGAATCTAAACCCACCTGCATTTAGCGACCGGTAATTTTGACAGAAGCAGTTCAAAGGTCAATCCTCCTCGTTGTAAGCTAACAGTTATGTGGTTGCCATGAACCCAATTTTGGGTTGTCATGACACACAAGAGAATCTGATGCCTTCAAAATAAGAGCTCTCAACTGCAATGAAGCTGTGTCCAAATCCAACCCTTTCAATCACTTCTGCTCTGTTTGTTGAACTGAATCGGCCTAAGTTTTCAATAGAAGGATCTGAAATGGCATCTTTCTACGACAACTTAAGAAATGGAATACTTCCCGTAAGTGTGACCGAGAAGAGAGAACTTTTGTTAGCTCGGAGTTAACAGGGGCAATTTATCCATAACTTAGTCTCAGTGGAACTTTGGAGGAATCATCTCCCTAAGGATTACCTCCCAGCAAGCGTGATACTGAGCGCATTGAAATTGGTATCTATACACGAGCTACCCATGAAATAACAATATTGCTGTACTGCAGAGAGCCCTAGAGGCAACTGTGAGGCTTTGGAATTTAGCATTCAGAAAGCTGAGAAACTGGAATGCTCTTTCAAGACCAACCAATTCTCTATTTCTATGCATTCTTGATACCTCTTCAGTTAAGTTTCTATTTTTTAAAAAAGTACAGTGCCTATAACTGTCTCACGGCAGATAAATTCCTGAATGCTTTTTTCACCATTGATTACATGAAATTCAGGTTGGACCAATCAAATTAGCCTGATGGAATAACCTTAATTTAAGAAGAGGGTAAACTTGGAGCAAGAGAAGCAATAAAACAAAAGAACAAACTAAATTCATCAGTAGGCATTGATCTTTGCTTGAACTCCACAACAGCAGTGATTGAACACAAATCAAATATTCAAACACATCAGAAGAATTCATGATTACAAAGTAAAAATGATTTAGTGATGCCAATGTCCACTTGGCTATCACAATATCCTTATTTGAACAGAACTCAGCAAATATGGTACTCGTAACATTCAAATAGGGAACCTGCAACTGAAGCTTTGCCATTTCCCCTTCTGCCCACCATTGACAGCAACCCTACAAAGGACCTGGAAAACTTATCAACAGAACTCCCTAATATCAAGTGGTTAATAGTTCAGTGTTGCAAATACAGCAGGACACATTTTGTTTTGACTTTTTTTATCTATAAACATAGACAATTAATTGGAGAAAACTGAAAAGAGAGGTAAATAATGAAAAGGGTACCTAGTGATCATGTCCATGGTCACCATGGCCTTCCCATGGATGTCTCCAGCCCTAATCATTACAAATATTACAAAAATAAGGCATCCAGCAATAGAAAATAAATACTGAGGCATATATCATCGACAAGAAAGAAAAAATGGGAAAAAACTATTAGAGATTCAGATACTTAATAGTAAGTAGAAATGTAATTCGTGATTTGGAAAATGATGACATTTACCAGTACTACAGGTCCATCTTGTTTCGCCCTGTATAGCACCCAAAACCTGAAAGATAATAGTTAATAATTTGGTAAAAAACCAGATTTTGAACCGCTTGGAAATGCCAATTTATCAATCCTACTGATTCTGATCGGATTCTAATTTACGCAGAGACGTCAAATTGTGTACAGGACGAGGTATTAAGAGATTGGACCAAAATTATAATCAATTTTGTAATTCCACTCGATTGCGATGCACTCATTTAGAAATATCCGATGAGGCCAGATCGGAAACTACGCAGGACTTGGAAAGACAGAGAAAGAAAGTAAATATAGCGTAGATTGGCTCAAACAGGAGACAAATTTAGGTTCCTTCAATAGAAATGTTCGATCGGGAAATAACAAAGCTAGGGTTTGTACCACATGACGGCGCACAATCCCTTGCCGGTGACGGTGTGCCAGCGTTTTGGCTGGTGTATGGTCATGCCCTTGAAAGTTGTACCAGCTCCGTGCCCACCACCTCCCATATTGGCCTCTGCACTTTCAATTGATCAGCAAAATCTGATTGCAAAAAGTGTCGATCGAACGAAGAAGATGAAAACTTGGATTAAAATCACTCTCGAGACCTGACTCTTGATTTTGAAAATGAGTATGGGGAAGCTCATAGAATGGGCTTTCAAACTGGGCCAATCTAGTGAATGGGCCTTTTTCCTTCGGCCCAAGGCCTCGTAGCCTACAACGCATTTCCAGTGGTAATCCAAATCTGTACATGGTTGAATGATTTACAAAATATATTTGGATTTAAATAATTTAATTTTTATATATTTTTAAAGAACATTACAGGAATCACGATGAGTTATTACAATTACGCCCTTCAAATTCCAATTTTTCATTTTAAATTTATAGAGAAAAATGCTAAATCAACGAAGAGATTTGCAAATCTTCCATTTATTTCTCAACCTACCCATCGACCGACTTGACATTATAGGACACGTGTCACCGGCCAATAAGTACAAAATAAAATAACGTGAAATATTCAATTTAATTACAAGTCGGAAGTCGGTGCGTTGGCAAACGAAAAACAAACATGCATATTGCATTGTACAATACAATACATGCGTATTAATATCTTCTCTTTCCAATTTTGACCTTCAAACGGCGGCGGCTGTAAGCCTCTATACATGCCAACCTGAAAGCCTCCACGCCCAAAATCCGTCTCAAAACTCCACCTTCTACTCTCACTCTCTAAAAATTATACTTTTCCGGCCACCTCATGGCGGTCTACGGCGGCGACGTTCCCCAAGTGGATCCGAGAAGCGGCTTCTGCAAATCCACGAAAATTTTCCACAGCAAACGCCGCCCAATCCCACTTCCCCCTAACCAATCCCTCGATGCGACGACGTTTATCTCATCCCGCCCCCACAACGGCAAAATCGCCCTCATCGACGCCACCACCGGCCAACACATCACCTATTCCCACCTCTGGGAGTCTGTCGACTCCGTAGCCTCCTCCCTTTCCGACATGGGCATCAGAAAAGGCCACGTCATCCTCCTCCTTTCCCCAAACTCCATTTTCTTCCCCATTATTTGCCTCGCCGTCATGTCCCTCGGCGCCGTCATAACCACCACAAATCCCCTCAACACCCCTCAAGAAATCGCCAAACAGATCGCCGATTCCAACCCCATCTTAGCCTTCACCACCCAACAACTAATCCCCAAAATCGCCAGTTCCAAATTGCCAGTCGTTCTGATCGACGGTGAAATTCAAATTAAAAAATTCTCAGTCAAAATCGTGTCGACGCTGAGCGAAATGATGAGGAAAAAATCCAGTGGAAGTCGAGTTAAGGAGCGTGTGGACCAAAACGACACAGCGACTCTGCTTTACTCCTCTGGAACGACAGGGGCCAGCAAGGGCGTAGTGTCGTCTCACAAGAATCTAATTGCGATGGTTCAAGTCGTTGTGACGAGGTTCAAATTGAGCGAAGGGGAAGGGACTTTTATTTGTACGGTTCCGATGTTCCATATTTACGGCCTTGTGGCTTTCGCTACGGGGCTGCTCTCTTCGGGATCGACAATCGTCGTGTTGTCGAAATTCGAGATTCATGAAATGTTGTCGGCGATTGAGAAGTACAGAGCCACGTATCTGCCTCTTGTGCCGCCGATACTGGTGGCGATGGTGAACGCTGCCGAGCAGATAAAGGGAAAGTACGATTTGGGGTCGTTACACACGGCGTTGTCCGGCGGAGCGCCGCTCGGGAAGGAGGTGATTGAGGGTTTCGTTGAGAAGTATCCAAATGTTTCCATTCTTCAGGGATATGGATTGACGGAGTCCACAGGAATTGGGGCGTCCACCGATTCTCTGGAGGAGAGCCGCCGGTACGGCACGGCGGGGCTTCTATCGCCGAGCACCGAGGCCAAGATTGTTGTCCCGGACACCGGCGAGGCTCTGCCTGTGAACACAACCGGAGAGCTCTGGCTCAGAGGGCCCACCATCATGAAAGGTAAGGAAGGTGGTCAATGGCCGACAAGATTGAATCCAATTTTGGATACTACAATTTATTATGTCATTAATTTTAAGTATAATCTTTAATAATTTTGATTGATTTATTTATTTATTTATTTAAAGAACAATGGAATTTTAAAATACAATTGTTTGAAATAAAATAAAATAAAATAAAAAAATGGTATGGTAATTAAAAAATATAATTGGATAGAAATTAATGAAGTTGGTGTTTAAAAAATTGTAGGGTATTTTGGTAATGTGGAGGCCACCACCTCAACGCTTGATTCTGAGGGATGGCTGAGAACCGGCGATCTATGTTACATTGATGAAGATGGTTTTATTTTTGTGGTGGATCGGCTTAAAGAACTCATCAAATATAAGGGCTATCAGGTAATTTAGATAAATCTTTTGTTTTTTGTTTTTTGTTTTTATTTTATTTAATATTATTCTTCA